CTGACCCATAACAGGCTGCGAGACTGGGTACTAACATGCCCGACATGTCAGCTGTAAGTGATGCGTTCTAGTTACGCGGTCATAGACTGACCGCAATTTGACAAGAAGCGCGTTGAGCTGAAGCGTTTGGAACACGAACGCCAGCGTGCGATCCAGCGGAAGGTGTTCGAAGATCAGATGCGAGCTTTAGAAAAGCAGCAAGCGCAGGAGCTGCTTAGTATACCCTACGACCCCTCCTTGGGTTTGGCTGTGTCGGCGCCGACTACACCACCACGCGTCAACGCGGTTTTACATGGGGACAGTTACATGAAATCGGCCCTCTCGCATTCGTCGTCGCTCGACGTCGACATTCTGTCGAAAGCGGTTGGCTCTGCCGTCTCCGACAAGCGCAAGTCCGTTACCTACGCTCCCTCTGTCGATCGCTCGCCCGACCTTGGATCTGGTCCTGGGATGACCACCCAGTACAGCCGCGCAGGTGCAAAAAGCATGCCAGCAAGTCGCCGTGGTTCTACGAGCAGCCATGATGAGGAGTTAGTAGAGCAACTTCGAGGGATGGTGTTCTCTGGGGAGAGACCACATAGGGCCACTCCGAGCCCTGGCGCAGTTGCGCAATCGATCATGCCCAGAGGACGTTACAGTGAGGATGACCATTGGCGTCCAGGTCAACGGCCCAATGTTGGCATGATGCTCGACGAACAGTTGGACCAGGAGATGCACAGTGAGTCCCAGTGGTTCCAGTTTCATTTACTGTTCCTCATATGGCAAAGACGCTATGAAGCACCTTCCGACCTCGGATGATGACAAGTTTGCACCCTTATGCGACCAAGGTACGATTCTCATTCCACGTTGGCGTCCGAATATTGATAGTGGGGCTCTTAGCTTTCCACGTCGTCCGCTGCATTGGACCTTGCACATCGCTCGCAGACCTCTCCGCGAAACTCTTTCGCTGGTCGTGGCGAGAAACCATCCGAATGGCCACAGTTCTCTGGGAACCCTCGTGCACCAGATGCCTTGAACTCCCGGAATGAACGCCGCAATGTGACGAACCCAACCCTGACGTTGACCTCTTCTCCCACAGAGTTGAGCGCGAAGCTTCCCAACACAGCAACTGGGACTTCGACTCCCCATATTGGGCGACACCCTGAGATGGGCCTTAGTTCAGGTAGTGTAGCTCCATCCTCTCGTCGAGGTTCGCCCTCTGTGGCCCTAGATGGTTTTTCTGCTACAACGCGCTCTGTTCCGGCGACACCTCTATCAGTGGTCAACGGTGGTAGCAACCATATGTTGCATGCTCCAGGTACACCTCGGACGCCGGACTCTCAAAGCTTGAGCGGTCGCCTGTCGTCCCAAGGCAGCCACCAGGAGTCGAACAACAGCGACATCCAACCATCCTTGTCGCGGCTGTCATCTGGTCAATTTGATGGTGCCGGCCTGTCGTTTGAGGTATCATCCATCGTCCTTGCTGCTTGTCAGTTTTTGCTCACAGTCGCATCAGCAATATGGCGTTGACTCGGTGTATGGGGCGAACGGTCAATTAGACAACGGTCGTTACGAAGCTTACGGCTTTGACTCTACTGGACGTAATGGTCCCGGTGTCAATGGTACGAGCGGTTCAACTGCGCTCTACAACCATAATGGATCTCGTTATGGTCTCGGTCGTGGCAGTGGTCCCGACAGCAAGATGAACGGCCTGCACGGTCCCAAGCACAAGCGTGGAGATATGGATCGTGAGTTCTGGTCTGACCTGCCCAACTGATCTAGGATGTTCAAGATGGTGTTCCACGCAGTTAACCGATTCGCTGGAACTCGTCTGGAGGATCTGCAGGCGAGATTCCTGCATTATGCAAAGACCAGCATGGCTGCCGGTACCTTCAGAAGAAGCTTGAGGAGGGCGTCCCAGAGCATCGCGATATGATCTTCCGTGAAACCTTTGGACATTTTGCCGACTTGATGACAGGTGTGTTGGGTATTTCAATCTGATAAGTGTGAAACATTGAGCGAGAAACCTAGATCCCTTTGGAAACTACCTTTGCCAAAAGCTCCTGGAATATTCCACTGATGAGCAGCGGAACGTCATCTGCGATTCGGTCGCGCAGGATCTGGTCAATATTTCACTTAACATGCATGGGACTCGTGCCGTACAAAAAATGATCGACTTTTTGTCCACCAGACGACAGGCAAGTCTAATTTCAGTTTACATCTTCTCTTCAACACTTACAGGAGGATTTAGACTGATCAAAGATACAATGTTCAGATTCACTCTATTATTGTCGCCCTCAGCCTCCACGTTGTAGTGCTTATCAAGGACCTCAACGGCAACCACGTTATCCAGAAGTGTCTCAACAAGCTCGCACCTGAAGACAACCAGGTATGTCGTTCCAAGGCGCCTCCAATCATTTACCTCAACTTCCTTCATTGCAGTTCATCTATAACGCGGTCGCCGCTAATTGTGTGGAAGTCGCTACTCACCGCCACGGATGTTGTGTATTGCAACGATGCATCGACCACGCTTCTGATCACCAACGTGTCCAGCTTGTGAACGAGATCACGTACAACGCCCTCACGTTAGTTCAGGACCCCTACGGCAACTATGTGGGTACCTTAAAGTATAATCATGGCACTGAGTCGCTTACTCTGATCCCGTCACCAGGTCGTACAGTACATCTTGGACCTGAACGACAACCGGTTTAGTGATGGTGTTATCCGCCAATTCACAGGCAACGTATGCGCTCTTTCTGTTCAGAAATTCAGCTCCAATGTCATTGAAAAAGTAAGTTCTGTTGCTTCGGAACCTTTCCGGTGTTGATGGTTGTGTGTAGTGCATCCGTGTAGCCGAACATAGCACAAGAAAAATACTCATTGAGGAGCTACTCAATCGTTCCCGTCTTGAGAAATTGCTGCGCGACTCGTACGGCAACTACTGTGTCCAGGTCAGTGCTTACATTTGCTTTGCCTACTTTTCTTGACCACAATGTCATATTCAGACTGCTCTGGATTATGCGGAGGCTACCCAACGTGCTTTGCTTGTCGAAGGCATTCGACCTGTGCTGCCATTGATACGCAACACTCCTTACGGCAAACGCATCCAGAACAAGCTTCAACGTGAGCAAATGGACGGCTTCGGTGGAGGAGGATACCACGGTCATCAGGCCATGATCAACATGAATGTCACCAACCAGCCCCTTGGTCTCGGTCACCACTCTGCTGCTGGGCGGCACCTCACACAAAACATCCACGCAAGCAGTCCCATGGCTGATATCTACGGATCCCAGGCTGGTCTCTACGGAATGCAAGGGCAGGGCTCTTACGGTCACTCTCACATAGCTCCTCAACTGCACGGTCTCCAACCGCGTTCTATCGATGGATACGTCCTGCAGAACAATTCGCCTCACAACCCCAGTTTGACTCTCACATACCCACGCTCCAGGCTATTCTGGCGTATCTGCGTATGCTAACGTGGGCTTTAACAACGTTGGTCTCACTGGATCGTTGAATGATCCGTACCAGGGCTATGGATATGGGATGTGAATGTCCAGTCATCATCCGCGCTGCACCTACCAACATTTCCAACTTGGTTACCGCTCCTTAATGCATGCCCTATTTCTATGTATATTCTATGTCCGTTGCGTTCGACGGCCCGATACCTCTGCCTGGCTCGACCTCAACTTCCCGTCCTTACAACCTATGGGCATCAGCCGGCTTCAATCATACCACCGCGCGCACTTGTACATTGGTCCGGCATACACAGTCCCCTACCCATTGCTATTAGTCTTGCTTTCTGAACATTTTCACTTCGCCCTTTTTCTTTCGTCTTCATCTGCCGCATTTGTATAGCCCTAATCTTCCACCCATCTAAAGCAATGTCTGTTTAATGGCTAACTTGCCGCAGCACTACCTTCTGTACTTATTGTGCAATCTACGCGTCGTTGCTTTTCGGATTTGGACTCGCGTGTGATGCCTTGTGCTATTGAGGACAGCAATCAATTTTAATTTTTGGGTCAGCTCAGGCGTCCAGGTATCCTAAAGGCATGGGCAAGGCTTGTGAGACGGCTCGTTGCAGATCTGATATGTTGTTTGAGTGGAGAGTCCGAGTTGGTCGTTGCTCTGTCCTCCCCGCGATTGGAAGAGTTCTATCCCGCTGGGCTCAAAGGTTGTTGATATCATAGTGAGATACAGACAACATTCTGGCTCTGATGCGATGTAAAGAGAGATATAAATGTGATAAAGCTAGACGATGCAAATGGTGCACATGCTTTTCACCGGTTCTAGCGGGGGAAAGTGAGCAAAGAAGACACTGGGGATGAGAAGAAGCAGCAGCAGCGTACCTTGACGAAGCCGATGGCAGCAGACTTTTCGCGGAAGCATTGACGGCAGAGGTCAAGGCCGTATTTGCGGATGAGACCAGCCTGGTGAGCGCAGAGGCGGCTGTGGAACGCATAGCACGGAGATATGGGTACACAGGCAGGCGGAAGCGGCGAGACAGGAGGGTGCGCTGGACTCACCACTGACGGCTGCCCTTGCCGTACTTTCTGGGACGAGAAAACCAAACGGCGTCGTGTGTCATTTTTGTAGTTGCTTGAGGAGGCTGTCGAAGGGAGAGACGGCATCAGTAATTGTGGTTAGGAATGTCGACAGCGACGGATTGAATCACCTTGCCGACGTTGAGGCTTTCGATGCGGAGACGTGCAGGCTGCCAGTTGGTGTAATATGAGATATCTGCCACGTTCGGAAAAACTGTACAGTGGCTGAATAATAAGGTTTCAGAATGCATGCGAATATCCTTTCTAGGCACAGCAACACTTGACAAGCGCATCAGTCAAAAATCTGTCGAACTAAAGGACAGTATATGTTGTTATTTCATTCATTTCCAACATGCCTGCGATCAACTGCGATGTTGGGCACGAAGCAAACGTGAGATTAAACCTCGGATATGATGTGTAGCCTGAACGTCTCTAACTTATATGAGATCCATCGATGGCGCAAAAAAAATTGAAACCAGTAGCCCACCGCGAGGGTCGAACTCGCAGCCTTCAGATCGCCTAGCTTGTTTAAGAGTCTGACGCTCTATCCGATTGAGCTAGGCGGGCGTGGTAATAAATATTTGATATGTCACAAAGATGTGGAGTTATTAATTTATTTTTAGGACAAAGCTTGGTGTTACATAAGCAAGGTGGGCGATGTTGTCGGTCTTCCGGTTTTGGTTTACATAAAGTATCAATTATAACTTGAATAGCCCCACCCACACCCACCCACACACCTTCCTTTCAAAACAGTCAGACAGGTCTTCGACTCCTGCAGTACATATCTTAATAATGCGTCAAGCTGCCCGACTCGCCACTGGCCTCGCCTTGGTGGGAGCCCTTGGCGTACAAGCTGCTATCCAAACGGTCACTCGTACTGGAGAATACTTGTACACTGCGGACGGAAACAGATTCTATATCAAAGGTGTTGCATATCAGGAGCAGGGTGCGTATGCAAGATGCTTCTCCATAGCACGTGTTATGAACAATTCCCCCCTTGCAGGTGTGGTTATTGCTTCTGCGAGTAACCCTTCCGGCGAACCATCCACCTACACCGACCCTCTGGCGAATGGCACGGCTGCCAGCGTGACTTGCACTATCTTCAAGCAGCTTGGTGTCAACACTATTCGTGCATACAGTGTCGACTTTTCCCTAAACCACGATACGTGCATGCAGTTGTTCAGCGGTGCTGGAATTTACACTGTGTAAGAGCCCGAAAATATCTCACACGGAGAAACCTGACCGGAGCGCAGCATTGATCTTTCTTTACCTGTGAATGGGTCCATTAATCGCGATGCTCCTGCCTGGACGACAGACCTTTTGGACCAATATATCGAGACCATCAACGTCTTCTCAAAATACCCCAACGTCCTTGCGTACAACGTAGGAAATGAAGTTGTCTTTTATGCTAACGAAACTGCCGCCGCTACCTTTGTCAAAGCTGCCGCTCGTGATGTGAAGGCATATCTGTGAGTGTCGGGTGTACTCTCCCCTGACTGCTTGCTTACTTGCGCAACAGCAATTCCATCTCATCCACCGCTCTCGTCGGTTATGCCGCGATTGATGCTGATCCATCGTGGCTTTATCCTTTGGCACAATACTTCTCTTGTGATGTCACAGGGACCAACTCTGGCGCCACTGCCATTGATCTTTACGGACTAAACAACTAGTGCGTACCACAGGCAATCTGTTTCCAGTCTTACTGACATGAAACATCACTATTCAGCCAATGGTGTGGTAACTCAACCTTCGAGGCTTCCTATGCTTCAACAGAGACACTCTTCTCTACATACAACGTCGCCGCCTACTTCAGCGAGTTCGGTTGCCCAGAGACAGTACGATATTGGACCGAAGTTGCCGCTCTCCTGAGCTCCGATATGTCCCCTGTCTGGTCAGGTGGCATTGCTTTCTCGTACTTCCCCGCCACCAGTGCCCAGGGCTCGTTCGGCATGGTTACGATCAATGCTGACGATACCGTTACTGTCAGCCAAGATTTCACCAACCTCGCGGCACAGTATAACGCCGCTACGCCTCCCAACTCACCAACCCAAAGCGGGCTCCAGCTGCGAACCTACCCAGCCTGTCCAGCTCAGAGCACCGATTTACTTGCTTCGACCACTCTGCCACCCACTCCTAACCTCTCTGCATGCACGTGCTTGGAGAACAACTTGAGCTGCCAGTTCACTCCTTCAACATCCAACTACAGCGCAATCGTTGGCTCTCTGCTTGACTACGGCTGTAGCCTTCTCGGACAGGCTGGCGGAACTTGCGCTCCAATTTCTGCCAACGGTACCACTGGCGTGTACGGTGAATTGTCTGCGTGTGACCCAAGTTCGTAATGTCTTTCTACTGGTGATCGTTTTTGTTGATGTGTGTTTCGTACAGCTGTCATGCTGTCCTGGGTGATGAGCCAATACTACCTTGACAACAACAACAATGCTCAGGCCTGCAGCTTCGGTGGGAACGGTACTGTCAACTCCAATGCACCTTCGGGCACGAGCGCAGCTAACGCGGCTGCGACGTCTTGCCTGGCAAGTGCCACTGGTGCTTCTGTCCCTACGCTACCAGCTGGTGGCTCCAGCTCTGGCGGAGGTTCTAGCGGTTCAGGCTCAGGCTCGGGCTCAGGCTCAGGCTCTTCCGGCGGCGCTGTTGCCGTCGACGCCAGAACTCTCTTTGGAATTGTCACTTCGGTGGTTGCTGTTGTTGTCGGTGGCTTGTGGACACTCGCCTGAGTGTGGTGAGTAAGTGTGTTGTGTGATGATGAATGAGACAATATTGGACATTTAATATCTCTACACTGGTACATATAAATTCTGTTTCCTGTACATAGTCACTGGACTTGTGGACATTTTTCGGACTAGGAATATCGCATACTGTGGTGCACAACTTCAAGTTGTGTGAGCAGGATGCTGCCATAGAATCGGTGTTGGCTACAACTGGCGGAGATCGATTTTCTGTCATGATCATTTGGTATTTCAGCACTAGGTAAATTAACTTGAACACAAACTGCCACTGCAGTGTCTGCCACGTTCGGTCCAACGCAAACTATCCTCAACATATGGCGGCGTCCCCGGAATCTGGAGACAAATGGAATTCGGCGGATGACCCAGGTCTTGATAGTATGGGCCCTGTCACCACCCACAGACTTGAACATGCTACTGGCGACCTAGAGTCTGGCGAAGCTCCAGAAGTCATCAAGCCTAACGAAGACACCTCTGGCAACAAAACCGATTCTGGTCGTGAAAAACCACTCAAGGTGCTTAGGTCTTGTCCTCTTGTTTTTGTTGTATAATTCTTTGCCCCTGCCAACCCGTCGTGTCATTCTGCCACGTCTTATCTGTGTCTCGTCCTCGTGTCTCGTCTGGGCTACCTAACCGCTGCTCTCTGTCGTGTTCTGGGGTTGCCCTGATAACTGGTATTCGGACCTGCTACTGCCTCGAGGTTCGAGATGTGGAGACACAACGGCTGGCCCTTCGTCCTTGTCCAACGTGGCTCTCGTTTGCATGCTCGTCTCACCCCGCTGTTTTGAGCGCTCATGTGTAGAGGCACCTCGTTTCCCTGCACTGGTCTTCGCTTGTTCTTGCTGTTGCCTCACTGCTTCGTCTGGCCTGGTATATTAAACTCTTTGCGCCGCCAGCCGAACAAAGTTTACATCGGTGGCCTTCCGGACCACACCCGCCAGGAGGACCTACAAAACTGTTTCGGCAAAATTGGCGCCATTGCCAACATCGAACTCAAGTGAGTCATCAGTAGTCCACAGTCAAGCTTCGCTGACCATCGTACCCCCTTTCCTTACAGAGTTGGATATGGGTTCGTGGTAAGGCATCCTCATTTGATCATCTGTTCCGTAGGAACCCATCACTTATAATTGGCAGGAATTCGAGAGTAAGGAGGCTGCTGAGGAAAGTGTCGCGAAATACAACGAGGGATTTTTCATGGGAAATAAAATTCGGGTCGAGCTTTCTCATAGTCGTGGACGTACTGCCAAACGGTCTGATGATCCCGGTGCATGCTTTAAATGCGGTGAAAGTGGACACTGGGCAAGGTACGTGCACCGTAACTTCATGTGGACGCAGTATTTAGGTGATTTGGCAGGGAATGCCACCGCCATACGGCTCACTCGTAAGTGTTTTGTTTCCGCAGTTCTCTGTGGAGGTAATCTCAGTACATTTTCGTCAGCCGTGGCGGTCCATTGCACGATGCTACCCCAGCCGACCGCATGCACCCCCTCCGTGACTATCCTCCCCCGCCTAGGGAGTCCTTTTCATATAGGGACGAACCCGCAAGGTACCCACCACCAAGAGACGCTCGCGTTTATGACTATCCCCCGCTGCCACCCCCACCAGGACGGGATCACAGGCGACCTCTCACCCCTCCGCGTGACAGTCGTGACTTCCTTCCGATGGGCTTTCACCCTCCACGCCGTGACTACGACGATTATCGCATGCGAGGACCACCTCCACCACCGCCCCAGCGCCTGTCTCGTTATGACCGGCCTGTGATGCATGGTCCTGAAAGGGACTACCCCCCGAGGGGTTATCTGCCGCCTTCACCGCCGCCACTTCATGATCTCTATGACGTTAGGAGGCCGCCTCTGACAGACGATAGGCATCCACCCTACCCACCGCATGGTGGGAGGCCACGGACTCCTCCTGGTCCGCCACCCCGACAAGATGATTATGACAGGCCGCTTCGGTAAGACCAATTTTGTACTTTGCAAATCGAACGAGTGATGACCGATCTCCTAAGCGACTATGGTCCTCCCCCAGAGGGACGTGGACGACCGATGACCCCTCCCTATGTTCAACCCAGCAGCAGTGCGGATCGGCCTCGATATCGGTGAGTTTGGTCTCTTCGTGTCTGATGTCGTGATCTTAGGCATCACGTTCTCTTAGACGTCGTTCACTCAGCCCGCCTCCGCGGTATGACTTGAGATATGGTGGTCCAGGTCGCTTCAATGGATCTGATGGCGAGAGGTATTCTGGCCCACCCCGGGGTGGGGGACGACCACCTAGGGATTACCCTCATCGTAACGGTCGGGATGAGGGCCCCACGCGCGCTTGACCTTGGCTCGGAGAAAAACAAACTCGTGTCCACATAGGCTGGTGTCATCTAGTTCAGTGATTTTCCCCCTCTCTCTTGTTTGTTGTCGCTTGCTGCTTTGTCCTATGTCTGCTTCATAATCCACACTGCCTTACATTTAATGGAGTGGCACAAATCTATCTGCAGAGGCGATGGTCCTATTCCAGATCTTGTATCAAAGCCAGTAAGGCATCCCTGTCCCTACTCGCATCCACCAACGCCCGGAACATGCCTGCGTCCCTCTGCAGAAGCCGTCGAGGACTGTCAAACTCGACCTATTGGACAACATTAGCATCCCACCTATTATTACCTACTTGTCTCCTGAGACTTACAATGTGCCCGGCATCCAGCACGACCTGCCATGCTTGTCAGTACATGTTCCTAATCCAATGGTAGTAACCCACGATCCGGTCGGCGTCCATGATTGTTTGGAGTCGGTGTGCCACAATGAGCTGTGTCACACCCTTCATCTCTCGAAGGGTTTT